GGTTGATTCATGAGATTGGATTATTGAACCCTAAACTTTGATTTGATGAATTGTGATGTTAGAGAGCTCAATTTGAAAATGTGTATTAGATGATAATGTTGTAGAATGATGTATTAGAGCTAGAAATGCGATGAAATTTATTGGTGAAAATTGATGAATTTAACTTAGAAAAATTTGATGATCATGACTTTGGACTTTTGAATTTTGGTGTTGAGACTTTGTTTGATGAATTGTGGCATGATGGTAAGATGATATAATAGGTTGTGTGAGGGTTGGAATGATTAAAATTGAATGGAAATCCCTTGGAGTGTCATAGGGCAAAATTCGAACCTTTGAAGAGAAATGAGTGAATTGATGTTGAAAAATGAATTGGATGATGATTTATGTAGTTATGTGGTACTTAGATGGGTTGTGTGGTGGTTGGAAAGTGTTTGAATCAATGGGAAAAAATGAATTGTGTTTAGAGGCCTAAATGGACCCAGAGCGAAATATTTAGCGAAACGATGCTCAAAAGACGTAAAACGGCGAAACGACACTTGAAATGACCTTATGGCAACCCAAGGATGGGTACTAAAATGAGAAAGAAAATTTAGAAAAATAAATCCTAATTTAACACTACCAAGGCCGAACCACCAAGGGGGTGAGGAGGAATTTTGCGGTTTTCGCGTTCTGATGTAATCCGACGCGAAAATGGCGAAACGGCACTTGAACTAGCCTCTTGGCAACCTATTGAGGCGTAGTAAAATGAGAAAGAAAATTTAGAAAAATAAATTTGAAAATAAGCCTAGGATGGCCGAACCTACCAAGTGTGGGTGAGGTGATTTCGTGATTTTTGCGTTTTGATGCTATTTGACGTGCACTGATGGATGTACGTGATTGTATAGGTTGCCGTACGTTGACTTGAATCCCGAATCTTGAATCTGGGAGTTGCCCTTGGTCCTGGATCGAGTGGATTGAGGTAAGAATTGGTTCAATGCATGTATAATTGTAAATTAGCATGTATTGTTTGAACTATGAGTGATTGGGAATGTCCTCTGTGTAGGCATTCTGCTTTGTACCAAGTTGAGGGATAAGCTGCTGCGGAGCTTGTGAAAACAATATTTAAGGTAACCTTTTGGTACTAGGGCTTGTTCCCCTTTTCTGTTCCACCTTGCCAGTTGATGGCAACGGTAGGAAGTGTATATGAGTAGTGTAGAACACTTGAGCATGCATGCATTATTACAGTGGGTACTTATGTACCGAGTCTCTGGCCAGTAGACTAGTTTTAACCTGCGGGCAGTGCAGACTTCCACTAGATAGGTCTCCGAGAGGGAGTTCCAGTTGACCGAGGGTCATAGTGTGTGATCCGGATAGGAGCACACTAGGAATGTCTCAGGTGTTATGGATGGAATGGGTACCTTGGTAGTAGTGATTTGATCACACCTTGGGTGGACCCGATGGAATGGGTACCTTGGTGGTAGTGATTTGATCACACCTTGGGTGGACCCATAGGCTTATATATGCCCAGGGCGTGCGTGGTATTGGTAGCTACCATCCCGCAGCGTCGTATTTTGTATTCCGATATTTCCCCAGTTTCTCTAAATCCCTGACTATATCCCATTTTCAAAGTGGTTGTTTTATTCTGCTTATATGCATCGAAGTGAACCATTGGGCTGAGTTTTCTCCAGAACCTCTGGGTTACTGAGATATATTCGTATATCTCACCCCGTCTCGGGGCATTTATTTCAAGAGGTAGCAGTGGAGCTGGAGTAGCGGGCAAGAGGCCCGCAGAATGATAGAGGAACATTTTTAGTATTTAGCATATTGTTCATGTTGGCATGCCTAAGTCTAGTAGTTTGTATCATTTGAATTTATGTTTAAATTTGTAATTGGAGTTGTAATATTGTAAAGGGTAAATTGAAGTTGAAGTCGTAAGTTGTAATATTTAAGTATATGTTGTAAATGTAAAAGAGATGCATGATGTACTAAGATGGAAGGATTTTAGGCCTATGTTAGAGTTATGATTATATGCTTATATTGTGAAACTACATGTAAATGGGACCTTTGTGATTGAAACAAGTAAGGAATATAATGTGAGCTCTATAGTATAAACTGCCTAATAACTATAAACTGGATTGAGTTGTAAGTGCTCCAAGGCGTTGTTGGTCCTTGTGTGTGCCACCCATTGGATTATTACTGTATTATTGTTGGATTATTAGGTACTTTGAGGCATTAGTGAGCTTGTACAAATTTGGGGATTATTGGAAAAACAAAGGAAACTCTGGCGAATTTTCTGTAGAATTGGCAGATTTTAGGTGAACTTCGGGAGAGCATATCTCCCTCTACAGATGTCCGATAGGGACGTGCCATACGCCATTTTGAAGCTTGAGATGTCCCCTACATGGTGTTAAAATATGAGCCAGTTCTGGATTGTACACAGCCCTTTGGAATTTATTGAGTTCGGACTGTCCAGGGAGCTCTGATGCAGGGGCTGTTCTGGCTAGTTTTTGGGAAATTAATTCCCGCTTCGTTTCTCGGTCAAATTAAGCGTATGATATATCAAATCGAAGATTGAGGTGTCTAGTTTATGGTGTAAAAATTTGAGAGAAATTGGATGAGTGAATTTAGTGAAGTAATTCGTGGAGTGAGAGAGGTTTAGAGCTGTTTTGGGGTTGGTTGGCTATTTCGCTTATCCAACTTCAAACGGCGATAACCGGAGCAAATGAGCTCCGAATTGAGCGTGTGATAGCTTGTTGAAAAGGGAATTAAGTAAGACAAAGATATAATCTGAGAAGAAGGTTTGGTTGCGAGCGGTGTGATCGCAGAAAATTAATGAGTGAACCATGTTCAAGTAAGTAAAAACGTAAAAGTTGTAATTGGCTAAGTGGGTTTATGGGAACCCCTTAGTAACTTATTTATTTAATTTGTGTTATCAATTGAGGTACATTGTTTGGTTGCGCAAACTTGTATTTTGATAATAAAGGAACAAAATGATTTTGGAAAAAATATACTACCAAAAATTCTTGTATATTATAGGTGTTCCTCCGTAAACACATTCACCCTTATGAGACCGATACAATCAATAAAATATAAAAATAACACATTAAATGGTGAATATGCTGATGGAGGAAAAAAATTCCTTTCTCTGAGTATACAAGAATTTCCACAAATTTAACCTCTTTTATTTTTAACTGTTAGGTGGACAGCGGTTGTATGAATGGCAGCACTTGCACTTACCAATGGTTTGAACTTACCAAACAAGGAATTCTGCTACCTTATTTTAGTAAAATTCATGATACAAAAGAAAAATAAAATTTCTAAAATATCATATATATTTTTTCATAAATCCCTAATCAACGTCATTTTGGGGTTGCACGATGTTGCTGGACATTTTTCCCTATAGTATATGTATATTAAGTTTCCACCAAAAATAAAATAAAAATAAATATTGATAACCATATTTTCAGAGCATCGCTATGTAGCATGACACTTCACCCATTGGATTGCATGAAGCATTGTAAGAAGCTGCATCACAGTTAGATGTAAAGCAAGTGGAAAAGATATATGGGACGATCTAGTACTTTCCATATTTTAACCATCTTGAATCTAAACAGAAATGACACGAGAAAAGAATGACTGTCACAGAAAAAACTAATCTAACGACCACATCTGCAACTTCAGCCTTAACTACCAAATTGCTCAAAAGAATCCATGTTTTGTGAAAGGACAAAGAATTTCCACACTGAGAATGTATATTCTATACACAAGCTCCACTGGTCTGTTAGTTCAAGAAATAAGTCTTGAGCTCTAACCTGGATGTATACAGTGCCATACATATATCCCAAAAAAATGCATTTCATGTACTGTAAGAGCCATAACTGATAGAGGGTCACAAATGGAAAATTGAACACAAGGCCTCAGCTGGAATAGAGGCAGAATTACTGCATATGCCTCACAAATGGTGATGACAGCTTATGTCAGAAACACTAAAAATAAATAACCAATCTACCTTGTGCGTTAATCAACTTGAACATCAAGGACAAACACTGAACGTAACCATAAGATCAAGCCTAAGCACCTCCATGCCCAACAACTCAAGTAGAGAACCTTTCATCTATAACTACAAATTGTATGCTACGAACTTATTTTTCTATGGTGTAAAGCATGCATACTCAAATAAAACACATTTTCTCTTGAAACTCCTTCCACTTGCTACGATGCCCTGTACTACATTGATCTGTGAGACATTGTCATACTATCACATTAATACCTTTCAGAGTGCAAAAAAAGAACTTAGGAGTAAACCCTCAATTTTTTTTCTAAAGATTAGGGTGTTGCACATTGGTCTCCAAATGTTTTTGTCAATAAACTAACTCCTCAAATATTTCTTTCATCAAATGTGTCCCTCAAATGTATAAAATTGTGACTAAATTCGCAGTGGTGAAAGAAAAGGTTAACAAATTAATAAAATTGCATATTGTAAGTGGCTCAACCTAGACTCTAGAGCATGAGTCTTTCATTCACTCCGAGACTGTACAATTTTATGTTCACCATGTTGCAGATCATATCTTTTTCTTCCTTGACAGCACAGTAAAATCTAAAGCCTCATAGCTATGATTTGTGAGACACAGGAATAATCAAGTCATTTGCGGATTTTGGTGCCACAGTTGACTAAATTTAAAAGATTCAATGCCAAACCAGGAGCATTTCTGAACAACAGAGTTGGAGGCCATAACATAAAAATCACTCTCCTTTAAACCCAACTAGCAAGGGTGGGGTGAGGTCAATCTTTGTACGCATCCTCCATATTTGCAAAGAGACTGATTCTCAGATTTGAATGTGTTATAGGCCATAACATAAGCAAAATAAAAAACGAAACGGATTAACAGTCCAAGTTCAACTCAAAAAAGAGAAGAGTATCACCAAAAATCCGAAAGCCTAAAACGAAAACAAGTGAAATCATCTCTTATACAAGAAAACACACTACACTAAAAGTATAAAAAGTTCACTATCAAGGGTTCATGATATCCTTTGAAAATATGCAAAATTAGTAACAAAACAAAACTCAAAGTAGCCAGCAACTACATGATGATCTAATTAAACAGGCATTTGTTGTATACACAAAGTCCCTACATTCTGCTCACTATCATCAATCATTCCCTACCAAAACAACCAAAAATAAAAAAGAAAAAGAAAAAGAAAAAGAGTGAAAAAGGAAGTGAAAGATTCAAGCCTGTGTGCCAGCCAATGCTTTCATTTGGATATGACTATGATTGGTGTCCGCAGGGGAAGAATTGGTGGGCAACGCCTCATAGGATCCCAACCTCCTAACACCAACGCTTTTCGCAACGACAGCGTAAGTGACCAAAACGATGAGCACAACGAACATTGCGTGCACCGAGAACGCCAGATCCATAATCGCGATGGCTCTGAACATTGATTCCTCCACATCACACTTGGTGGAACCCTCGACGCCGCTCGCGACGTCGAGGAGGCGGTGGCAACCTTCCGGGATGAACGCGTCGGCGTAGAGCGAGAGTCCCGTCTGCAGGGCCCAGAGGCCGCGGAGGCAGATTGCGGCGGCGAGGGCGGCGTCGGCGGCGAAGAGGCGGGGGTGGACGGCTAATAAGAGGCAGAGGAGGGCGGCGAGGGCGGAGACATGGCCGGAGACGGAATCACATTTGGCCTCGAGGGCGGAGGTTTGGACGGCGGCGATGGCGGAGGAGAAGGAGAAGTGGAGGAGGAAGATGGCGGAGGCGAGGACGAAGGAGAGGTCAGGGGGGAGAGGGAGGAGGGAAGGTGCGGAATCGGAGAGGAGGAGAGAGAGAGTGAGGAGGAGGAAGAGGAAGAGGAGTGCGGCGGATTGGAGGGAGGTGAAGCGGTGGACGGGGGTGTTGCCTTTAAGAAGTGGGTCTGATTCGGCGGAGAGGATGAGTTGGTGGGCGATGGCAACCAACAAGGAGAGGATAATTAGGTATAACTGAAGGTGGCGGAAGCGGTGGTTGGCGGTGGCGATGGGGAATGGGTGGAAGAGTTTGGCGGAGTAAGTGTGAGGGGATTTGAGGTAGTTACGGGTTGTTAAGATGAGGTGATAGAGACCTAATGAGAGTAGTGCTGTGGAACACACCACTTGGTACACGAGGCTCCCCATTGATTTTGATTTCAACAAAGAGGGGTTTTGTTTTGTGTTTTTGGTGGTGATGCTATTTGATGTAATGAGAAGAAGAAGAAAAATGATTGATTTCATTATTCCTTCATTTTTTTTATTTTTTATTTTTATTTTTCATTTTTATTTTTATTTTTCAATTGCAGCTCAGAACTTTCGTAGCTCCTCCTCACTTCAACAACTATGAGACTTTTTACATGCAGACCTCGCTCAATAATATAACATAAAATATAATTATCATGACATTTTCGTTTCTTCCCCCTTCCTCTTTGTCTTAAAATGACAACATATTTTTGGTTGTTAACTTCTTGTTGATATGAATGAAGTTTTTTATTTCCTTGGGTGCATTAATGAAAGCGTCTTATATTTCATATATTTCTTCTCCTCACCACAACGACTGACTATCTGACTAAATATTAGAAAGCGTGTCATTTTGGTTGAGGTGCTGCGAATGAGATAAAATCTAACTCAAAGTCATATACTCTGAATAAAGATATTCAACAAGTTCAATAGTAAAAATAAAAGAATACTTAAAAAATATAGATGTTAAATCTATAAAAGCTGCACAAATTTAATTTTCATCTAGTATTATTGTAATTTATATTATCATATAATTATGTATTCAACATTACAAAAAGAGTTTGGCATTTTATTAATTAATTAGACTAAATCCCCGTTCTAATCATCTAATTATTTGAAATATTAATTTAGAAAACAAATATATATATTATATATATATATATTATATATATATATATATATATATATATATATATATATATATATGGGATAGGATACTTGCACTCTTGTATATCTCAATTAAGGAAAGACAATACTTGCACTCTTGTATTTTTTTTCCTCCAATTTTGCACCAACAACTTTTAATTATAAGTATGGGATAAGTTATTCTACCTATCATTTTTTCTGTCTATCTTTTTCTACCACTCTCCAATACCATTTGTTATGGACCAGAGAAAGGCCCACAGCAATATGAAGCCCAACCAACGTCAGCCCAGAGGTAAGCTCTATAAATAGGACTAAAGACCACATGTATGACTGATCTCTCTAACCCTATTTCATTCAAGACACGACAGTGCACACACACACCCCTTCTGGCTAAAGCCATCATATAGTGTGTAGTGATCAGCTATCCCCAAGATACCTAATTCATAGGTATCTAAAGAGAAAGCTCTAGATCCAACATCAAAGACCCGACCTTCTGTCGGACATATCTGCTTCAAGCAGAACATTGGCGCCATCTGTGGGGACACCCACGACCACGTGATCAAAAGCCACGATGGTGAGAGCAACAAGAAGTGGATTTCGACAGCCGTCGAGATCGAATTCCAGAATCCAGCCTATTTCTCCAATCAGGGAGAATCCTCTGGATGGACGGCAGATAGATGCCGACGCCGTGCACGTGAGTGATATGCATTCCGATTCGGCATCGACTCCAGCTGTTAACCAAGACGCTCCTTACGTGCAGGGTTTACAGCCAATGGAGGAACAAATAGCAGATACTGTACAGGCACCGATTGGTGCAATTGCTGATTCGCGGGTAACAGATCTGGCAGTTGCCGCAGTGCTTCGGAGAATGCAGGAGATGGAGAGGAGACACAGGCTGGAAAGGGAAGAAGCTGCTAGACAAATGCGAGAGCTGGAGGCCCGAGTTGGTCGAGCTACCAACCCGAACCCGGAGCAGGCAATAACACGGGTTATGAATGACCTACGGATTGCATGCACCCAGACGAACCCTAATGGGGCTCAGGCCCAGGGAAGAGGGGTTGGAAACGTCGGAAGTCGGCCTCAAAGAAGCACCCCAATGTGGTCCATAATCAAGGACCCGAAGTTCTCTATAGGAACGGGGGACAAGAGAGACCGAACCTGAACCCGAACCCGAACGATGTTTTCGGGGTCTACAGGAGGAAGTATCATAGGGGGCAATATAATGATAGCCCCTTCGCGGACGAAATTGTGAATGCACCATATCCAGAGAACCTAAATCTGTCTGAAATTTCAAAATATGACGGAACGCAAGACCCTCAGGTGCATTTGGATGCCTTTGATACGACAATGTATATTAAGGGGATCGAAGAACCGCTGCTAATCCGGTTATTTGCAACCACCTTGACAGGAGCAGCTCAGGCGTGGTTCTCCTCCCTGCTAGCAGGATCCATCAGGTCGTTTGAAGAGTTCGGAGGCAGGTTCTTGCTAAACTTTGCTACAAGCAAAAAACAGCCAAAATCTGAATTTGCGCTGGGGAAAATAAAGCAGCAGCTTGGCGCAACCCAGCAGAAATATCTGGACCGTTTCAAGATGGCTGCGTTACAAGTTCCTGGGCTATCCGAAAATGTTCACCTTCATTTGGTGATTCCCGGCCTTCACGAATCTTCCAAGTTGGCCAAGTCCGTCTACAAAGATCCTGTACGAACTCTAGTTGAGTTCACTACTCATTCCAAAAAATACTTGGAGCTCGAACAGATGGAAGTTGAAAACGTGGACCCAAGGTCGCACCAAAGCCAGGTAGAAAAACCTGGAAACCGAAGGCAAAATGATTTTTGGGGTAAAAAACCCGAAGAGAAAAATTTATCCAAAATAAGATTTGACAGGTATACGCCTTTAAATTTCTCCCGATCCCAAATCTGGAGGGAAGTGGCATCCACCGAGATGAAAAAGGGTGGATAGACCTCAGCCACTACTGAATCAAGCTGGGCTTGATCAATCACGATATTGCGCGTTCCATGATGGCCCTGGTCACACAACCGAGGAGTGTTGGGATCTCAGAGATGCAATCGAAAGATATATCAGGGAGGGAAAATTGCGTCAGTATCTCATTCGAACTCAAGGATGGAAGAACAATAAGAAGAGGAAAGGAGGACGGCCGATGAGCCCGAACCGAGAGAAGAAGTTCAAAGATGAATTCCGAGGTAAGAAGCCGGCCAAAGAAGACGATGAATTTGTGGAGCCCGAGTTCGAGTGCAATGTTATTAGTGGAGGATTTAGTGGTGGAGGTGATACGATGAACGCCAGAAGAAAATACTTAAGAGAGGTGCTTTCGATTCGAGAGCGGCCTAAATTTAAGTTAGAAGAGCCAGAGGCACCACGGCTGTTCTTTACAAAAGCAGAATTGGAAGATGTCATGCCGGGACACGTTGACGGGTTAGTCATCACCAGGACACTAGTTAATTGTAAAGTCAAGAAAATGTTCGTGGATAACGGCAGTTGTGCCGACATAATTCTATGGCAGGCATTCCAGAAAATGAACTTGGATGTGGAGAATCTGAAGCCCTGCAACACGGCTCTGATGGCTTTCAATGGCTGCGACAATATTCCCAAGGGGTATATTGATCTGAGACTCACCCTGGGAACAAAAGAGGCTTACAAGTCAGAAAGAGTAAGATTCATTGTTGTCGACTTCCCATCGGAGTATAACGTAATTTTGGGAAGACCAACAATCCACAGTTGGGATATGCTGGTCTCCACTAAGCATCAGAAGATTAAAATGATAGGTAAGCAGAATACGGTTATCACCATTCAGGGGGATCAAAAAGAATCACGGGACTGTTATTTTAAGTCAGTCAAAACAATAAGCAGCAAACACAAGGAATCAACCGGTTTGAGCACCAGTAATAAACCGGAAACCTCCAAAAAGGTAGTTACACCGGTAAACATGGTGGAGCTGGATATGAGGGATGAAACTCAGATTCCAAGACCGGAACCAGAGGGGTAATTGGAGGAAGTAGTTATCGGAGAAGAAACTCAAATTGCCAAGGTCGGAAAATGGTTGATTGATGAGGACAAAGTTTGAATTACTGAGTGCTTAAGAAGGAATGTGGATGTTTTCGCTTGGAAGTCCTCAGAGATACTTGGGGTGGACCCTCAGTTCTGCTGTCATAAGCTTGCAGTATACCCGGGTTCTAAACCGGTAGCCCAGAAGAAAACGAAGCTCAGTACGGAACGTCGTCAAGTGTTAGAAGATCATGTAAAGGAGTTATTGGAAGCAGGATTCATCAGAGAGATACAATATACAACCTGGTTGTCAAACGTGGTCATGGTGAAAAAGCCAAATGGAAAATGGAGGGTGTGTACAGATTATACTGACCTGAATAAGGTATGTCCCAAGGATGCATATCCCATGCCCAACATTGATCAGTTAGTGGATAACTCATCTGGGTTCTAGATGCTGTCCTTCATGGATGCATACTCGGGATACAATCAGATCCCGTTGCACCCAGAAGATCAGGAAAAGACCGCTTTCATTGGAGAAAAGGCAAACTATTGTTATAATGTGATGCCTTTTGGATTAAAGAATTCAGGGGCCACTTACCAAAGGATGATGAATCGGGTATTTGCCGACCAGCTTGGCAAGAACGTGGAGGTGTATATAGATGACATGATAGTCAAATCAATTGATTCAACAAAGCATGTTCAAGACCTGGAGCAGACCTTTGAAAAATTGCGGCAGCACAACATTCGGCTAAACCCGGCTAAATGTGCCTTTGGAGTCCTTGCAGGGAAGTTCCTAGGATTCATGCTGACCCACTGAGGTATAGAAGCCAACCCGGACAAGTGCAGAGCCGTGTTAGAAATGAAGGTCCCTGGGAATAAAAAGGAAATCCAGCAGTTGACTGGGAGGTTAGCCTCACTCACTAGGTTTTTACCTCGGTCTGCAGAAACCGCATTACCATTTTTCAAGCTGTTGCGAAAGGAGGTGCAATATGGCTGAACTTCAGAATGTGAAGTAGCATTCCAAGAAATCAAAAAACAACTGGCATCACCACCAGTCCTAACTAGCCCCAGAGAAGTAGAACCATTGATAATGTATCTTTCGGTGAGAGATATGGTCGTTAGCTCGGTTTTGGTTCAAGAAAGTGAGGAGGGGCAGCAACCAATCTACTTTGTAAGTCGGCTCTTACAAGGAGCAGAACTTCGCTATCAGAAGTTAGAAAAAGTGGCTTTCGCCCTTCTAATCTCGGCTCGAAGGCTTAGAGCGTATTTTCAAGGGCACCGGGTTGTAATT